TACAACTTAAATTTCAATTTTTTTATTTACAGCAAACGAATAATGGCCGATATTCTTTCTACAGGGTGTCCCAAAAGTTCGGCGAGAAAAAATTTTTTAATAACTCCGCCATTTCTTAGCCAAACTTTAAGGTTGTGTTTTTGTTTGATGTTGTCCCATGTCACACAGAAGTATACCAAACATCACCACAACACTCTTCTCTTCCATTTCTTTTCTATTCAGTCCAATATACCCTTGTGCAATCTCTCTTCCTTTACCAGTCGGTCTCATTTCTACAACACAAACATTCAACTCTGTTTGATGAACAACACGAATCTCGAATGTCGCACCTAAGTCAAACAGTACTTCCTCTTCATCTGCGAAACTGCTGAAGTGAGCAATGTCAGCTACCACAATAGTATCATTCAGCTCACTCAAATCACACTCGATCTCAAACAAAACACCAACCTCATGTCGATGCTTTGCTGATTCACCCGCAAAATGCAAAGCTACTTCATGACACCGGCTAGTTGAGAGAAAGTCATTCGTCGAAATCAGGTTACCTTCGTTCTCTTTCAGTTTCTCAAATTCTTCATCCGATAAATTCACACCACGATAGGCTCGGAGCACATTCGCTTCTCTCTGTTTCATTTTTTCATATTCTTGTGCAAGGCATGAGCAAAGATCAACGATGAAGAATCGAAGCAGATATAGCTGTTCGATGTCTTCTGTTCGGAGAGCTTTGTTAATGAGTTTATAAACAAATGATAGTTTTGCATACTATCGAATGACATCATCTCGTTGGTAGGTCTTATCAAACTCTTGAATGAGTTTCAGTTCTTTCCTGTTACCTCGATAGTATTCTTGACACTTCTGAATCATCCGTTGTTTGCCATTATAATCAGGCGGCATTTGCATGATGAGATCTTTGAACATCTGGAACCAGACAAAGGAAGCTGATTCTTTGGATAAATCACGAGTCGACTTCTGATGAGTATAGAAGCTGAATCATTCCATTTGTTTCTCAATCATCCTGACATTCTCTTTGATCGAATCGATGAGTTCTTCGTGTGAAGATAAGACTCCGATTATTTTCGAGTATTCGTCTTGCAGATGTTTGTATCTGTCTCGGTTCAGGCAAAGATGGAAATAGAATCGATTTGAGATAGATTCTTTATATGAGGAAGAAAATGGATAGTGCATATGTCTGATGTCACAACAAATACTTTCTCATTCTGAATATGTCTGATGTGGCCAATGCATGAGTCCAACTCCGTGTGGAAAATGACAAAAGCATTGACTTCTCAGCATTTTCATGGTTCGCTTTATATCTTCATTTGAAGCGATGCTGGTATCAACCAGATGAGTGTTACACTCTCTTTGGTATCATCATGTGGTGTTCTCTGAGCATGAAGAGTTGGTAGTGGTACCGGATGAAGCGAAAAGGTGAGTGCCGAAGATGTCTGTTGTGTATTCTCACTACTTTTTGAGTAACTAGGAGTTGCTGGTTGTGTCGAAGAGGGCTTTCGTTTATGCATTGTCTACATTTCAATCAAGACAGAAGTGCTGAAAGAGATGAAGAGCGAGATGACTGTGATCATTTCTGCTTACTCATTATGTCATGTACTTTCGTTAATCTTTGCTCATCTTGCTTTTGATTCAGAAATTAAAATCGTGTCCCAGCGAGAAGTGCACATGCATTCGTTGGTCCAGAACTATCGTTCTTTTCACTGTTGACCAACTGCTGTCACTCATGTGTAACGCTTTACCCCCCCTTGGTCACTGGAGTGACCATTTGTAGATCGATGGTAAAAAATTAAGAAAGGATGGAATTTAAAAACTTTGGGGAGATGTCTTGTAGTGAACTCCATAAGCTATCGATTGGTAAAAAAAAGTATTTTGTTTCGTTGGTTTGTCTCCGAAAAAGATGAATTACAAAATCGATGACTTTTGAAAAATCACAAAAATTGGATTTTTTCGAAAAATATTTTTCCAGCAACAGGCAAGATACATCTTGATAACCTATTGTGTGGTATATAATGACAATAATGTCTACTATCAATATCAATGCCTTTCGAAAGTGTCAGAAAAGCCAGGTAGATAAGAGATGGAATGACACAGAATGGTCACTGGAGTGTCCATTGGGGGGGAATGACTTGAAAAAGTCCTATTTTGGGCTGTTCGTAAATTTGATATAGTTCGACCAAAAACATCGTAGAGAGCTCAGGGACATCTTATTTTGTAGAGAATTGTTTGCTCTATCATTCTACGTAGTTTGAACAAAATTATATTCACAGGTTCTAGGTGCTGGAAAACTAGGGTTTTGGTTTTCTAGAAAACTCTATTATGGGGAATCTAGTGATGATTTTTAGTATCTCAAATCCTTGTTGAAAACAATTTTCCCTACTCAGGTCACCATTTGAATTGTTTTTAGCGTTTATGGCTGCGAAAAAAAATCGAAAATACACCCAATTGCTCAATTTTTGTAACCACTGTAGTTTTTCAGCACCTAGAACCTACGAATAAAATTTTGTTTGAACTACGTAGAATGATAGAGCAAACAATTCTCTATAAAATGAAATGTACTCGAGCTCTCTACGATGTTTTTTGGTCGAACTATATCAAATTTACGAAAAGCCCAAAACAGGACTTTTTCAAGTCATTCCCCCCCGATGGTCACTGGAGTGACCAAACTACTCTGCACAAACGAGCGTGCGCCTGATCGATCTGTCCATACTATTGCCATATTGGAGTCACCAATACTCTATTCCAGTAGTTATTTGATCAGTGAATCCTCTGGAACTGTTGTGGGGGGTAAAGGGTTAATTTTTCTTTTTTGTGAAGCACATTTCTAAACCTACAAGTTTCTTACTAGATGAGCTAACGGGGTCAATCAATCGTCATTTTGTAGAGCGTTTTTTACTGCATCTTTTCTTCATAGAGACAAATTTACAACCACTCGTTTCACTATAGAAAAATTTATTATTCAAATCGAGTCAGGACTTCTGGCCCACCCTTTATACTCAAGGTGGCTCTAACTTGACATTAGCAACTTATATCTACGAATGATCTTCGATGACTTCGAATCAAAGACAACGCTCACACCTCCCTTCAGTCGGTGTTCGCTAGAGGACTATCCACAATATATCTGTGTCTACGTCCGTCACACAGTGTTCAAATGTGCGCGTGTACGCCCGTGAGTCACACTGATGTTTTTCGGTGGCATACACATAGCCATTTCCTTATTCGGTGGTAGCTATTTTCACTGACCAAACTGACCGACCGAACAACCAATTTTCATTCATTGGTTAATAATTTTTAAGGTGAGCTTTCAGAGAAAGATAATTCAATTATACCGGGTTACTATCAAGTATTAACAGTCGCACAGTTTATTCCTATAGGCTTATAGGATAGCTACGTACAAGTTATAACATCCTGACTAATTTCTTTATTTGTTCACCTATCTGTAGGAGAACTTCAGAATAAATTTGTAAAAATATTCTGAAATTTTTGGTTGCATAATCAAACTCGCGTTTACTCGAGGTTTTCAACAACTGGTTTCTCTTTCGATGCAGCTCCTTTTTTTTAACTGCAATATCAGTGCACATGCATATGGTAGCTCGATGTTGATATATAAGATTCCAAAAGAAAAGATTCAGAATTACTCTTTATTCAGTTTGAAACACAACTTTGGCAGTTAACCCGCCGAAGAAGGCAGACATGGTAAAAATATTGTCAAACAAACAACAT